AAAATATCAATAAGAAAATAATTACAAATATGAAACAAAAATGCTATTAAAGTCAACAGGAGATATGGGATTTGAATATGCAAGTCAAAACAGAACCTCGAAGATGTGGGCTTAATCTTTCTAAGATACCACATGTCTCTGGAAGAAAAACAGCTTAGAAAGGGTTAAATTTCAGCAAGAAACAAATACCCATCCACAAGTGCCCCAGTACAAGCAGTACTTCTTTGTGCTGCATATTTAATCATTTCTACTACTGATCAATTATATCTGCATCTTCCCAATTATGTAAAGATCTATACAGAAGATCAGTACAGAAGATACTTCTAATTCTCTCTATTTCTCTGTTTTATTCTATTTAATCGATTAACTCCTCATTTCCATTATTTCAAAAATTAGTGATTGTCAGAATCACATTAGGCATATATTGAAAATACAAGGTTTAAGTGCAGTTGCACAGTTACCTTCCTTGTTGTCCAACATACCCACTTTCATGTAGTGTAAGAGATGACCAGACTAAGCCCAAGGGAGGGGTCAAACGCGTCATTAATCATGAGTCCCTTCACACTCACAAGAGATCTAATTCCAGCCCATACCCTTATCTACTGTCCATTTCTGTTGAACATTAGTAGTTTAGATTCTTATAGAGAGCTTAAGCTTGCAATGAATCTTTATACTCATTTGAGCTGCCTGAATCTTCTGATTTCCTCGGCATTTGACAATCAGTTTCCTGTATCCAAAGGCAAATTTTAATTGGGCTCCAATCTCTACACATTATTTTATCCCCTGACAGTATGGAAGAACATAGACCAAGACTTGTAATGCCTTATTACACCCATAAAGGTCATTTGATTTCACCATTTCTTTGAAGGATGCAATCCCAAATTCAATCAAGAGGCACTATCTCTAGAATCCACTAGAGGGCAGCCTCTACAAAGACTGACATTATTCTAGCTTCCAGGTTAAGCTGAGCATGCTCCATTGAAGTTTGCCAGAAATTCATATTGCAATAATGGAGCAGAAAGACCAACTGTGAACCACTTAATCAGAACATCTTTTTCTAAACCAAGCACATTTATAGTTATCACCAAATTTGAAAGCAATATAGTAAGCAATATAGTAAGTCCATTAAAAAGTATGCAAGATTTGGAAATTCTTTCAATTTGCCTCTTCTGTGTCAGTTTTAACTGAAAAAGTTTGAAATTTAAAATTGTGTACATTATGTCCAAAATGAAAACTAAATTATTAGCTCTTTTTCTAAAGCTAGCAAATTTAGAACAATACACTTGGTGATCTTTCATTCCCCTTTAATTCTAAACAACTTCTCAAAGTATTATTAGTGTCAAATGGTATAAAAAAATGAACCACGAAGTCATGGAAACAGAAGTTCTTTGAAAATATTATAGAAAGTACCAAATTCTTTCATACTCATTATATGAATCAAAAATCAATCATTATTTTGCAATTATTCCCATACCAATACAGGCAGAAATCAACACAATTTTTTTCTTATTTATATTTTTAAAAGCATAGGAAAATAAACTATTTTTAAAATAAACTTTTCAGTTACATTGAAATTACGTATTACAGTAAAGTTTGATAGCTGAAATAACGCTAACATTAAGGAGTTTATTTTTCCTTTTAAAAATTTGCTATAACTTTAGTTTGTGTTCTGCTCCCTCATTTATATACTACACTTCAAAACAATAACTTATCTATGTGAGAACTACTCTTAATATAATGACATTAATAATGGTTTCAACATACATCTGGCTGCCAATTCATTAAATATCTGTACAAATCTTGCCTGGTGGAAGATAATCCAGGCATCTAAGTACATATTAAACCTTTTAATGAAAGTGGATTTTATATTTACATTTTATTTAAATTTGTGCCACAAAATGAGTGTTAAAATGTTGTGACTAAATTACATTGCATGACCTCAAGTGAAAACCTGTTTCTTTCTTATTCAGAGTTGATGTCCAAAATGTGACGTGAAAGTGGGACACTCAAAAAAGGCCACAATGCAACACTAGAAAGGGCCAAAACAGTCAAGTAATTGCTCTGGTAGGATATTTTGCCAAAGAATTATATAGTAAGAACGTTTGCTGTTTGAAATATCTGAAATGCATGAAAAAACCCATTTCTCATTTCATTCAGCAATGCAATCCTCTGCAAAATGGCACAAGGCTGCCAAAATGAACCCACCGGTATTATATTATTTTCATGTGCTGCAAAAATATTACTGTGACATTTCATCTGGACAACCATCTTAAAGGTTAATTCTGTTTCCTATCATAGCTATTCCTTTAGGTGAACCATTTGGTGCAGTTTCTATTTACCTATTCCAAACAATCGTCAACTGTTTCATTGCTCAGTCTCACTGTTAAAAACATATTGACTTACTGCCTACTCTGCTGTTTAATTCATTTATGCTTAGAGTCAGGCATGAACAGAGAATTTGAAATGTGACATCTGCAGGTTGCAGGGTCATTTGAGGTTCTGACAGCACCAAGGGAAATCCTGACATATAAACTGGTCCTGATTTCTAATCTTCCATGTTCAAAACACATCAGATATTCTTCCCAGAGGAGCCCAATTGAGCCTAAAGTTTTAAATTTCTTTTGGGTTTGAAATCTTGCAAGGAAGACCAATATACTTCAAATATTTAAAATAAACCTTGTGTTTCTTTTCAGGTAAAGCTACCATTGCCTCCAGCAAGAAAATTCCAGCAACTCTGACTGAAAAGACTTAAGAATAATTAATATCCAGGGGATATTTCCCACAATTTTGCCACTTAGCAAACTTCCATTTGTCCTCTTATCTACCCTTGCTGAAAGCCATGGCAGTTGTAGGTAATGGGTCATTTAGTTGACAGCATCTGGCTAGCTTGCCATCAATTAAATATGGTTAAAGCTGGAATAGGAAAGTTACTCAAAAATGTCTGGTCAAAATTGTGCTGAAAGGAGCCAGCACATTTTTTATTAGATGTGATCAAGACAGATAGACTCACATTGCCTAAACAGTGATCAGGAATGTTGGAGCATGGGGGGAGGCTAAAAAGCCTAGATGTCAAGGACAATGTGTGATTAAAACCCTTCCTTTATTAAACATGTTTAATGCAACACAAAAAGCAACAGGACATCAATTGTGTGGTCATCAGCTTAATATTTTTTACTATCTTCTGCAGTTGTTCCTAGCATTGACCCCACTGTAGATATGGTTGGATATTGGTTTTAACTTTGTTTCTATTGTTGTTTAATTATGTAAACTGTTATCGCTTGGGTTGGCCAGAAGTTCACAAAAGCAAGTTAAAATAATATTAATTATTATTTTATATTTTTCTAATACTTTTCTTTGAAATAGTTGCTTTCCAGGTTTTGAGTCCAAAGCTCTGCCTCTGGATTGCCTTTCTTAAATATTCTTATACCTTGTGATCAGATTATGGTTCTGTTTAAGCAATCATTGTAATTTGTATATTTCATCAGTTTACCTCGTAACTTTTATATGCTGTATTTTATAGCCATGCTCTGATATTAGTTTAATTCTATTGTGCTATATAGGCTCTAAATAATGTTTGTTGCTCAGAGTTCCATTCTGACACAGGGCAATAAATATCTTAAGCATATGTACATCCATTTTTCAATAATAGTATTTGCTGAGATTTGGCTTATAGCATAAGATGGAAATCTTTCTCCTTAACTTAAATTAAAACTGAAGAAACATATTGTATATTAGCAAAACAGGCAAGCCAAATAAGCATGAAAAAAGTGTGTCTAATTCTGTCTTCATGGGCAGTTTTCAAGTTATTCTTAGCTGAGGTTTTAGGTCTTTTTAACTCAATATTAATAATAGTATGCATAGGAAGTCATCAACATTGAGGTTTTCTTAACAATGGTTAACAACTCTTGTGAAGAGACAAGTCACTCAAGAAATTTATCTACAATTGGAAGCCCTTTGTGGACTTTTTGCAGGAAATGAAAAAACAACAACAAATTATGACATACAGATTTGACAATTTTTTTTTTCATTTGGGGGAAAATGAATACTATAGTGTTAAACTAAGAGTTGAATATAGGTTTTTCTTATATCCTTAGAGAAAGAAGTGGGAAGTCATTTTCTGTATATATTTTTGTTTCCCTTTTTTTGTCTTTATATCTTTCTGGGCCTCTCTCTCTCTCTCTCTCTCTCTCTCTGTTATCTTTCTTTCTGATTGTTAATTTTTATTTGTACATTTTGTAAAACACTTCATAAAATTATTATATTAAAAATTTGATGTTTTCTTAATGATGCTATTGTTTGATCATTTCTGTTTTTCATGCTGGTGTTTGACTCAAACAAAGATGTTGCTGAGATTGTCCTTCATATGACTCTGTTGTTAATCTAAAGAAGCAGAGAATACAGCACTACTAAAGAGAGACGTCAGGAGTATGCGCCTATTAAAAGCACGGGTTGTGCTTCTCATGCCTGATGAGGTATGCCACTGCTTTTGAGATATGCAAGGTCAAGAAATAGAAACAGCACAGATTCCATGAATGTTCTTTATTTTTCTAGGGTATAATAACAGAACCTTGAAATCTGTCAAAGTTTCTCTCTGTCCCCTTTATATCAAACAAAATCAAAGTGGGGTTATTTTTAGTTTCTCATGCTTTCCGCTTTCTTAGTAGTGAATTATCATTTCTCCTCCCTTAATGTTTTCATTGCCTTCTTTAACCTTTATTGAACTCAGATCTGTATTCTTTCACAGCTGTGTCGCTACCTCTACTTTGTACCATAAATATTTATTAATTAAATGTTTAAAATCAATTAGCTTGATACCTTCGGAAGGGAAATTTTAGTAAGGATATTTAGCAGGGATTTTTTTTTTCTTTTCAGTATTCTAAATAACGGCACTTCCTAAATGGAGATCTCTGCTTCCATACAATTTGTGAATACAAGCATTTCATTTAAAAGATTGAAGTCTTACTTATTCTTGATAGAAATATCAATAAACAAAGTGATACCTGGTGTATTATTTGTGCTACTGGAAGCTGTTCTGCATATTTTAAAGGTTCCGTTGCTATTTTGTCCATAACAGTCCTAAAAAAAAGCAAATCAGATATTAGAATAACATAGAGAACAAAATCAGACAACAGAAACTATCATTAGCTAACATACCTATCCCAAATCAAACTCAAATAATCAGCCATTGAAAAATATACTCAAGCCATGTTTCTAAGTCCACTTTCTCTTTCTATGCTTCAGTATGTATATATGTTTGTGTATGTACACACACACACACACACACACAAATCAATCTAAATCCTTCCCACTCCAGAAAATTCTTGGAACAGCAGGGAGAAATTTTATCATCTCTAAATAGATGGGTGGCATCACTAGTTTTCCACTGAAAATCAATAGCTGCTACTTGCTCAGAAAGATTAACAAAACAATATTTTCAAGGTTTTGTTTTAAAAGAAGAGAAGTAGAAGGGAGGGAGGGAGAGAGGGAGAGATAGATGAAGGCCCAAAAGAGTACAGATCATATTTCTGATGACTGCTGGCGGTTACTTTTCTTCAAAATAAAATATTTGTCGTTAAAATATTTAGATGAATTATTAACAAAGAAGTGTAATTCTTTACAAGAGATTCTTTGCAAAATGTACTTCATAAAAGGCACTTCTCCTTGAATCATTAAAGCAGCTGCATCATTTCCTAGACACTGGGATATTGTAATAAACATGAAGCCAAATGGCTGTGTGCATACATGCATGTCAAATGGCTATGTGAAAGGACACATGCAGAAACAGCTGAAAAAGCAGTTTCTGCGGCAGGAAAACAGTTCTTTTTTATGCATTCCAGTGTGTTACAAAGCCCCTTGTTGAATTATTTGCCCAGTTGAAATTAAGACAGTTTCATTTCATTTATCCACTGAACTGAAAGCATAAACCTTTTCAAAACATGCCCACTTACATGGCAGGAAGAGAAAAAGACTTCTATTAATGTTGTGTTTTATTTGAAACAAACATACTATGTACACAGTTCTACATTTTTATTATGTTGTCAGCTACATTAAGCAGCATGGTAAGATATAAATACCTTTAAAATCCTATATGAATTAAGAAAATTAATATTGCAATTCTTTTCTTTCATTGAGACTAAAAGAATTCTACATTTGTAAAAATTTCAACCTCCTGTGAAAGAAAAAAAATATCCCAAGTGAAAAAAAAGGCAACGAAAAGAAATCACTGAACCATTTCAAATGTGAAGCATTATTTCAAAGCTTCTTTCCTCCTCCTCAGTTTAAGTGCTTTCTGCAAAAAAAAGAGAGATACCACAATTTTCTTTTAATGGTCAGTTATGAACTTTAAATGTAAAAGCCAATCAGAATATAAGAGTTGGAAATAGCCTGAGTAATATTACTAACCACTGTAAGATTTCTGCACAATATCTTAAATTATTATAGGGGGTCTGCATTCTTATTGAATGCCAACTGTGATTGCCCTGCCTACTAGGTCAAGAACTGCATTCTTCATCTTTATTAGGAAACAACAGTATAGTGTTTATGTAAATCAGCTGAGAACCCAGGATTCTTTTTCTACAATGGAGAGAGAATGGAAGACTTAAGGTCCAGCATGTGGCCTTAAATTAAAGCCTTTTGATATGTTGTAACTATATAGTATTAGAGCTAGGCCTTGCTGATCTTTTTTTTTCCCCCAATGAGGTTGCTAGGTAACTGCTAAGTTATTTTCCCAGTGGGAAATGGCATGCAGTCTCCCCCAATGAAATGATCCCACCTGAGCCAAAAGAGACTTCTCCAACTTTCCTACCTCCTGATACACTGAACTAAAACTATAATTACCTCAGGCAATGTGGATTAGTACAGCCTGATCTGAATCAGAGAGCCCACAGATACACTTATTTTGATAACCTGAAAAGTGAATTTATTGCAATTATCTACAGGGCTATGAAATGGATGGAGGGGTAAATGGACGAACAGATACAATTTGCTTCGTCCTGGTCTCAAAATCAATGTTCATCCTGGAACAGCAGAGTTGCACCGTCAGCACAGCATCACTGTGTCCTGCACCAATTATAAACTTGTGGGTCCTCTCTAAAGGTAGCCTGAGTGCAATGGAGTAGTCCAAATGGGAGGTTATCATCACTACTGACTGAAACTATCCATGCATCTAGTAAGAGAATCACTGTAAAACAGTTTTCTCTGTTCCCACCCATAGATACTACTGTGAGTCTTGAGCAGGATACCATAGCTGATGGTACTGAATAGAACCAAGAGGGTGTACGCCTCCCATTTAAGTCCTGGTAAAGGTCATTAACAGAGTAACCAATGCCATTTCTGTCCCATGAATTGCAATGGCTTCATGTAAAGTTTAAAAAGTTGGGATAGAGAATCAAATTCCAAGGAAACCCAAAAAGGAATGGTCTCCAGATCAGCCTCTCCTCCCTCACAGGAAGGGTCTACTGTAAAATATTCCAAATCTACAGTAAAATATTTCCTCTAATCTCCAGGCAGTCTTGAAGGATACTAAACTCAATGATACTGAATACTTCTTTCATAACTATCAACATCATCCTCTCCTGAAGTGAGGCCATGATAGTCTTCTGGTTCCATGTAGTTAAGTCTTCTTCAGGCCTACCGGTAGGTCCAGCCCAAGATAAAAGAGGTAATTCTAAAGAACACTCTATTACTGTATCTGCATCAAAGTCTAAGTCAAAAGAAGTCCCAAATAACATGATCAGACATTGCAGTCACTGCCAGGTACAAAGAATCAGTACCATTTGTAAGGTTGCAGCACTGATTACTTATTCAAGTCTATATACAAGAATCTGGTGACTTAAAGTTCAACACTAGATTGGTGCCAGATAAAGGTCAATGGAATTCAGGAGGGAGTGGACTTGGAAAGCTTGTGGGAACGCAATGACTTTAAACTGATGACATCCACCCCAGCTCTACCTGCTCTTCTCATACAGACTCACTACATCAGACTCTTACAGCCACCACATCTCTGGAGAATCAAGAATATGGCAAATAGCAATCTAAACTGCAAAATCTGATATAAACTGGTCACAACAGCCAGATAGACCTACTGATCTGTCCTCAAAAAGGAATAAGCATCCATCCCGTGGATTGTTTGAATTTTAAGAAGAAATAGATTAAACTAAATTTGTTATATCATGTGAGGAAATAGAGGGGGGATTTTTTTCTTCTTTTTTTTAAGGTATTAATTTTAGTTTTTTATATATATGACTTGTTTTGCTATGACCGACCACCCTTTCATCACGATGTTTTCCTGACCATTTTGATGTTAAAATTTTAAAAACCAATAAAATGTGTATTTAAAAAAAAAAGGGAATCAGCATCCCCAGCAAAGAAAACTAGCAGCTATTCTCTTGATGTAATAAGATAGAAATAATTATCCTTCACCTCTTTTAAATTTGTTTTTTAACAGACTGCAATTACAAGATGGAAAAAAAAAACCCTAAACACTCTCAAGTAACATTCATGGTGAGTTTAGAAGTTCTGTCAACAAACCAAAAGGGAGGGAAAATCATATCTCAAATGAAAATTGCAGTTGGCTACAGTTGCTTATAACAATTATAAAATTGCCATGTACTGAAGAATAATGGAAAATATTCTCTTTTTTTCAACTTGCTTGCATTTGGGATATAATCAATTCCGTTCTCTATGTGCACTGTCATTTACTTTCTCCCTGCTGTTAATACGCTCTTTATTAACAAGATGAGGAAAAAATATTTATTAAAAATAAAGCTACTGTTTCAAGAGTGCTACAAAGAGCCCTATCAAAATGAAGATGTCAATTTAAAGTCTTCAAACAGCATGAAAATAGCACTTCGCATATCCATTAGTAGTAACTAATGAAATTCTATTTATAACTTTGTCCAACATTACTGAAAGTAAACCACTCAATTTACTTCAAGGATAATTGCTCTGGAAAACAAGTGATCTAATGTACTCTCGATTTAAAGGTTGTTTTTAAATTTTATTTTAGACAGCATGCTGGCTTAAAAAACAACCTTATGCAACTTTACTTTGGTGAGAGTCAAATGTAGTTCTACTTTACAGCTCATAAGCGTTTTCAATCAGATGAGCATCTCTTGCTGAAAATGCTATAAGAAAGAAAGGTCTGCTTATCTTGGAAGAAAATTTCACAACCAAGTGTTTCTGCTGCTGTTTGGAAACCCTCTAGAGGTGCATTTTAATATAGCAAGTGCTCTCTAACAACCCAAAGATTTACAAAAGGTTTAGGAAATTTGAGAGCTATCTGAGATGAGAGAATCATAATTCCTTAGAATGCAGCATGCCTCACTCAGGAGATTGTAGTTGATTTTTAATAATTCAAAACCTACAGTCACTCTTATCTCGGTAAATAATCTGTGTATTATTTTTATAAAATTAATGATAATATATTTGCTCTGCAAAACAATGCAGAGATTTAATGAAGTATTTGTAGCATCTTTTTATCACTGTTTGATGGTGTTCAGATTTTTTTCCTGAAGCTCTTTACTTTGCAGTTTATCATTTCAATTATTCTGGTGACACATTTTTTTCAGGTCAATGTATACCCTACTTATACCCTTTGCCTCCAGATTTTACACAATTTGTTTACTTGTGTGTATTTGAAATAGATATCACTCAATATAGTTTGTGACTAAAGTCTGTAGATAATATTAAATTGAAAAGCATAGAACAATCTTAAATCCTACAATATAATACAGAAAATGCATTTTCTTTTGATTGGTGTCTTAGGGACCAAATGCTAAGCACTTTTTAGCCATATAATAATCACAGTCCATTCAGCACATTCTACACATATAGCCTATAATTCAATTAAAGGTTTTTCAATTGATCAATAATCTTGATTTAAACTAAATAATTAAATAATATAGTAATAAATAAACTTAACATACTTAATGGATCTCTGCCTATTTATAATGTTAAATTTATTTTGGTAGTGAAAGAGATCTCAAGAAAAAAATAGAGAAGCAGTGAGATTTATTTCATTTATTTCAATGAAAACCTGCAATATATCACTCAATTAACTTGTTTCCTTACCAGTT